TGTCCACAAAATTACTGCACCAGAATAATATGAATGCTTTTGAAAAATATATAATTTACCCCTAGAAAAGCTGATTTACTAAGTCTGGGGTGATGCCTAGGAATCTGTACTTTTAGCAGGCTACATTTCCCATCACTACCACTTTTTCTGGGAGGAACTGGGGAAGACAGGGTCTCACTCTGTCGCCCAGGCTGGAGAGCAGTTGCACAAGCACGGCTCACTGCAGCCTTGACCAAGTATTGGGCTCAAGCCAATACTGCCACCTCAGTCTCCTATGTAGCTAGAACTACTGGCACACATCACGGTGCCGGGCTAATTTTTTTAATTTTTAGCAGAGATGGGGTCTCCCCACGTTGCCCTGGCTGGTCTCAAACTCCTGGGCCCAAGTGATCCTCTTGCCGTGGACTCCCAAAGTGCTGAGATTACAGGTGTGAGCCACTGTGCCCAGCCTACACTTTTAATTCTGATGCAAAGTCAGGTTTGGAAACCATGAGACTAAACACACATTTTTAAATAAAAGTTTTAAGACATCATATTTTGGAAAAATTCAACTATTTGCTGGAAATAACCAAGAAAGGCATTTTCCCTGTTATGAATAACTCAAAACAGTTATGAAATGGATGTCTACTTACCAATAACTTACAAAGCCTTAACACAAATCTATACTCTACCTGAGGTGATAATAAACTTTGTAAGAACAGAGCTCAAGTTTTTAAAGTATAAATTACTGTATGATTAAATTTAACCCAATAAACAAAAATAAGTCAGAGGAAGAAATAGTCTTATATCACTGATACATCATCTGTGTTTCATAATTGTAAAAAAGGAAAGATTGAGTTCTTTGGTAACTGTTCTTATTTATTTCATTAACTGGTTGTTCCCAGTTACTCGGGAGGCTGAGGCAGGAGAATGGTGTGAACCTGGGAGGCAGAGCTTGCAGTGAGCCGAGATCATGCCACTGTACTCCAGCCTAGGCCACAGAGTGAGACTCTGTCTCAAAAACAAAACAAAAAAAAACCAAAAAAAAACACAACTGGTTGTTGCAAAACACATGCCTATCGGCTTTAAAGAACTTTTAAAATCTCGTTCAACACTTTTCACACACTACAATACAAACCAAGATTCTCTCCAGTTCATTCTTTAATTTCCATCAAAATCACCTGCTGCATGATATTGGTTCCTATTGCTTTTACAGCTTTATATTCCCAACTTATTATTTCAGCTTAACTTGAACAACAATCCCTGGTAGAGTAACTCAGAAGAGTTTTTCACTGATTACAAATATCCTGTGAATTAATTTACCATGAAAAAAATGAGTCCTGCTTCCTGCGGGTTTGCAAAATAATCTAAAATAGCAATACCTCAAGCACGTGAAGTCACTGTAACGAAGGGATGGAGAAATCACATGCTTCTTTAAAACAAATTTTTTTTTTTTGAGACAGGGTCACTCTGTGTTCCCCAGGTTGGAGTGCAGTGACAGAAACACAGCTGACTGCAGCCTCAACCTCCTGGGTTCAACTGATCCTCCTGCCTCAGCCTCCTGAGTAGCTGGAGCCACAGGCACACACCACAATGCTCAGCTAATTTTTTATTTTTTTGTAGAGATGGGGGTCTTGCCATGTTGCCCAGGCTGGTCTTGAAATCCTGGGCTCAAGCAATACCTCCCTCGTTGGCCACCTAAAGTGCTGGGATTACAGGCATGAGCCACTGTCCCAGGACAAGATACTTTGAAAGGCTTTGAAGTATGCGTCCCATTTGAAGAGAAATACTGCCCTATCACTAGGCCAATTTGCTATCTCAGTTACTTGGCCTGTCCACATCCTCTTTTTTTTTTCCTTCCTTTTACGAGATCAGGTCAGGTCACACTCTGTCACTAGAGTGCAGTGGCGGCACGATTAGAGCTCACTGTAGCCTCAAACTCCTGAACTCAAGCAATCCTCCACCTCAGCCTCCAAGGTAGCTGGGACTACAGGCACAGGCCACCACAACCAGCTAATTATTTTATTTATTTATTTATTTATTTTTTGGTAGAGACAAGGTCTTGCTATGTTGCCCAGGCTAGTTTCAAACTCCTGGCCTCAAGTGATACCCCCGCCTCAGCTCCCAAAGTGCTGGGATTATACATGAGCCACCATGCCCAGCGCCCCTGACATCCCAAACAGCTAAAGTAATCTGATATAAAGTTGCCATGTAAAATTTTAAAATGTTCCAAGCTACTGAGTTTAAATTTCTAATTCTACCTCTCAACTCCTTGGTAAAACCTTAAGCAGACTAAATATAATAATGACCATTATCCCATATACAACTTAACCTTTGAGGTTCTCTTTTTTTCTCCTTCCTAACATTCAAGTAAACACTCTAGATTCAGCAGGCTCCTTTATGACCAGTACCTTAAAACAACACACTATTTTGGCCTAACTTAAAAACCAGAATCAGTACTCACAGTGCTGGGATCAGATGCAAACCAAATGGTTGCTGGGAAAGTGGGGGGAGATGGGAAACTTGCAAAATAAGATAGCACACAGTCATTTAAATATTTGTGTAACTTCTCATTTGACAATTTCTTTTAGAAGGGATTTGTTCCAAGACTCCCAGCAGACTCTTGAAACTTTGAATAATACACAACTCCATATATATTATGTTTCTGCCTATATACACATACCTATGGTAAAGTTTAATTCATAAATTAGGCACAGTAATACAGTAACAATAACTGATAATAAAATGGACCAATTAAAACAAATATGCTATGAGTTGGCTGGGCACAGCGGCTCATGCCTGGAATCCCACCACTTTGGGAGGCCTAGGTGGGAGGACTGTTTGAGGCCAGGAGTTTGAGACCAGCCTGGGGAACATAAGAGAGACCGTGTTTCTATAAAAACATTTTCTAAATCAGCCAGGCATGGTGGCATGCACCTGTAATTCTAGCTACTCAGGAGGCTAAGGCGGGAGGATTACTTGAGCCCAGGAATTTCAGGATACTTCAGCCTGGGCAACAGAGCAAGAGATCCTGTCTTTAAAAAAAAAAAAAAAAAAAAAGTTATGTGAATGTGGTCTCTCTCTCAAAATATCTTCTTGTACTGTACTCACCTATTTTTGAGAGTAACTGAAACCACAGAAAGCGAAAACGCATATAAGAAGGGACTACTATAATTGTATAAGCACAGAGTTACCGTAATGGTTGGTATCTGCAATTAGTACAGAACTTAGTGAAGTCTAAATAGTTACTTTTCCTGGAACCATTGCTACTGGGCTATACCACATAGGTTATGCTTCAGGGAAAAGTGATGGCAAGAGTATGCACTGCTACTGGCAAGTAGCCACTCCTAACAAGATGGAGATCAAGGCTTCCAAAAAAAGCAACATCATATCAGTGACAAGACTAGATTGAGAAATCTTGCTCTATAGCTATGGTCAGAATTTCTTAACCTGAAGTTCACAGACAAATCCACCAAGGAGGTGATAAATGAGTTCTTAGATTCCATAATTGAAACAGCTTTCAAAATGTGTTTATGTACATGTATTTAGGGAAAGAATCCATAGCTTTCCAGAGAGTTTTAAATAATATTATCTAATTCAATCCTCACAATCAATGAAGAAGGTACTAATATTCTCAGTTTATAGACAGAGGAAACTAAAATGTTATGGGAAATGAAAACCTTACCAAAAAAGTGGTAGAGCATTAATTTCAAATATGTCCTTAAAACACATATACGTACACACACAACAGCTAGTCAGAGATTGTTTTAACTATAAAAGAACAAGTTTTTATATTAGCATATATGGCCTAGAAGCCAAATACTGGGGAAAACATGCAATTTTATTTAACATAGAAATAATAGTTGTAAATTATTTTAACAACTTAAATATTTTTGAAATAACATACAAATCTCCATTTTATAGATAAGGAAGCAAAGAAATGGAGAGGTTAAGTAATTTGTTCAAAGATCACATAGCTAGTAAAATTCAAAGTCACAATTCTGACTCCAAAATCTATGCTCTTTACTATGCTGTAAAAACTGCTTCTCCAAACATTTAATACATGAAATTTTTAACTATGGTCATTTTAAAGGGAAAAAAGCAAGAAGGCCAAAGAATCATCCAATTTGGAAAAGTTTGTTATAATGAGGTACTTCTTTTATTCTATTCTAGCACATATGAAGCAAAAGCAATGGGAGACAAGAGAAGCAATTACATTTGCATGCTCTTTCAGGTACATAACCTCATTTGATTTTCACAGCTGTGTGTGCAGGAAGGGCAAGTACTATTTGTCTCACATTTTAAAGATGAGTTAACTGACACTCTGAGAGGTTAACCTCACTACTCACCATTACGTGAACATTTCTGCCTCTAAGATTTTCTGTGCATGGTTTTCCATTGGAATTAGCTCCCTTTCTCTGTCTAGTAAAAATTCAACTAACCTTTTAAAGTGTAGACCAGGTTAACCTACTTAGATATACCTTTCCTGGCACTTGTAGGCAGAATTAACTCCTCTTTTCTCTGTTCTCCCTTAATGTAGTTCACACCTTCCACCAGGCATCCTCTTTGTCATCAGTTGTATTTACGTGCAGCTCCATAGTCAGATATGGGGCTCCATGATGGCAAGCGTTATATACAGGAAAAACAATCCCTAGGATTCTACTGCCGAATCAGTAAAAGGATGAATCAGAAAACTAGCACAGTTTGGCAAAAAGAAACATGAATTCACACTGACATGCTGTTGTTACCTTCATAACTTAAGAATTTATCCTCAAAGTTAGCAGCATTATCCCCAAACGCTTCTAGTGATGCTCCCTGCACAGTGCTTGGGAAATGCCTAGGCAGACAGCACCTGAGACAATGACTCCTCTTCTATCAGCTACTAATCATTCAATTTTAGTACATGTGCTGCCGAAGCAAACACGCTACTAATCATCCAAATACATTGTTTTATTGAGTTTATGCTTCTTATTTCTTCCAAGTATATCAAGAAGTCCCAGGAAGACTATGAAAACACTTACATCCCCATGTTGGAGACATGTGGGTTTCAATATCTCATGGTATCTCTGGAAAAAGAAAGGAGGTAAGTGAAATGATGAAGAAATGGCATAGTGAGTTCTAACAAATTCAAAACCAGTCTAAATCAAGAGTTAAACAGTTGGATTGGCTTGTTAAATGTCAGCCTATATAACTGTTCATTTTTTTTCAGAGACAGATTCTCACTCTGTCACCCAGGCTGGAGTGCAGTGGTGGATCACAGCTCACTCTAACTTCAAACTCCTGGGCTTAAGGAATCCTCCCACCTCAGCCTCCAAAAGTGCTGGGATTACATGTGTGAGCCTGCCTGGTCACTCTTAGCTAATTTAACCCTTAACTTTTTTTTAATCTTAGACTTTATCCTTGCACTCAGTATACAAACCCCTTAGCCAAACTCACTAAAAAAACCCAAATGTGTGCTCAGACTTGCTTGATAAAAACTAAAGAACTTAAAGGAATGAGGGTGATGAAGGTCATTATGCCATGATAGACAATTATTTCAAATACAGTGGGCAATGCCCCTATGTCATTCCAGAAACCTACCTTTCTGTAGTTTTTCCAAGTCTGTGAAAAGCATTCTTTTTAGAATGCTATGAATTTAAGGAATAATATTTTGTAAGCATCTGAAGGTTTGGTGAAGTCAAAATCAGTATTTTTTTAAAGTCTAAATATTTATCCAAATAGTATAAGGCTTGACATCTCTTTATATTATTGGACCAAGAGGAAGACTTTTTAAAATAAACCCATTAAAAAGTTTTAAACATATTACACAGTTACAGTTGCCTGATTTTTTTGTGTGTGTATACAATTTACTGTCATAACACTGAAAACTCAACAAAGCTGGCTAATGCAGAGTTTTGACAGAGGGTGAATTAAGCTGATGCAGAAGGTAAACAGTTTACATTCAAACCTAAATCTCAGTGGTTGATATATTCTCTTTTAATGTGTACCATTTGGCTGCTTTAAAAATGAATTTGAGACCAGTCAGCCTTTAGTATTTAAACCTAAAGCAAACAGTAATAACTATCCCTGATTGGAGATTAACCTCAATTCAGCAAGCAGTTCTGTAAGCCCTTTTTCCTATTAAGTATTCCTAGATCCATCCCATTGTAAATCACATATTCTGAAGATTCATATTATTAATTCATTTTTCAGATTTTTCATCACAGACATTCAACAGAATCAAAAATAACCACTAGTCCTATAATGTACTGGTACCCTTTCAGCCAGAACAAATGGCATCTGACATTTTAGTTATACTCTGTGTTCTCAACTAAGAAGAAATGCGAGCTTTAAGTGGGTTTTTGTTTTGTTTTTTGCTTTTTCAATATGGAAAATAGCTTGTGGACTATCACTAACACCTCTGTGGCAACTTTAGTAATGCAGGATCTCAGCAAAGGAGATCATCAATCATGGAGGTTGAGTTTTTTCATCTTCCCCTATGACCTCACCTACAGACCTACCTGCTATTATTACAGGCAAACAAGTAGAAGAAATTTACATATTGACTTTGGCTCTGCAGTGATGGTTCTACTCCCAGATATCAACAGCAAGTTCTGTAGTAGACAAGAGAAGCAGTATGATCAGTCAACACCGGAAACATGAAGTCCAGTATTCATGTTCTGGCTTATAACCTTGGCTCCTGGCAATGTAACTTTAGGCAAATCACTTCATCTCAAGTTTTTTCATCAGGAAAATGTGGGTTGTTGAGAATTTAATAAGATAAAATATACAAATCCTAGCACATAGCAGATCCCCAATATATGTTAATTTCTTACCCCTGTTCTTTAACAATTAAAATACTACTGGAAAATCAGGTATTTTACATTTTTAGAATCACAAAATAGTACCATTCAAAGACATTTTCTCAGACATTCAAGTCTGCTTGTATAAATTACTACACAGTCTATCCCACAGTTTATTAGTTCTCTGCTGTACACAAATCGATTTTATAATTTAAATACTCTCGACTTGAAACCCAGAGAGGAACATGAGAGCCTCCAGTAGCAGTGGTCTCACTGCTCACTGGTTCTTGGAATGTGGATGGGAGAACGAAGAAGGGCTATCAGGCCAGCCTTCAGAGGACTCCAAGGAACATTCAACGCTGTCGGTGAGTTTGGGATTTGAAAAAACCACTGACCGTTGACTGTACCTCGGGGTCCTTACAGACGACACTACATTTCCTGAAGCAAAAGAGCAAGTTGTACCTTCACATGTCACATGAGTTCACCAGAAATGGTCCTGCAATCCCCCAAATGTGGTCCAGTGAAATTTATTCCTATTGCTCACTGTTCCTTGCTTTCTGTTGTGTGGGGTTTTTTTGTTTGTTTTTACAAAAAAGTATTTCATTTCAACAAGGTAAGGAGCAGTCCATGATGATATCTAATGTACTTAACTGTCTCCTAGATATGCACCATTCTGGTGAGAAACAGGATGTAGCAAGTAAAAATTTATTTAAAATACATATTTTGTTTTGGAATAAAATCTAGTTAAATAATTACTCCCATTTGTCCCACATCCTCTCAAAATTTTTAATTAGGGGCAAGGGGAGGATTTAATAAGCAAAAATAGCACAAAATTATCCAGTTGTGACAGTTCTTATCACATTTCACTTTGAATTAGCGTTAATGTGGTTAATTTTTGATATCCCAGTTAGAGCATGAGCTATGCCCACATATCCCCACATATGCTTATTTAAATGTTTGCTAAATTCAAGCAAAAAGTTAGCCCTGGCGTCGGTCAGATCTGGGATGAATCTTGGCTCAACCCCTTAACTAGTTGTTTGACCCCCTAAGCAAGTGTCTCTGTTTTCTCACATATAAAACAGAGGCTAAGAGTACCTATCATGGAGTTTTGAGATCCAATGAGATAATATATAAGGTGCTTTGTGCCATTACTAGCCCAGAGCAAATGCTCAATATATGTAAGCTGTTATTATTAAACTCCAACATAATCTGCTAATTTACCTCGAAAAAGCACTCATACTTCTCGGTTTAAAACAGAGAGGAAAAGCAGGTCCCTCAGCTGTGGTTTATAGGTATTAATACGCAAGTGTTGCCTGTGTGTCGCAGTGCTACCTGTGAGGTTCTCCAAGTTCTCCTTCCTTCTCTGAACCACAGTTTCCTCATCTGCAATAACCTCCCAGCTCCAATGTCAATGTTATGGATACTTATGTAGGCCTTCAATCATGCAGGTAGCTGGTTACTAAGGGAGAAGCCAGAAACACAGATTTCAAAGAACTGAGATGGAAAAGAAGAGCCAGGAGTCAGGCAGGGCAAAGGCAACCCCACCAACTGAAAACACTGATGGCTGCACTCAACATTCATTGCTGTCGGTGGGTTTGAGTCTGAATCAACTCACTGATCGATGAATGCAAACTGCGGACCAAACAACCCAAAGGAAGCAAAAGCATGTGCAGAGAGTCACCTGAGTGCATCAGCTACTGCTGGGAGTGGGAGCTGCTACTGTTTCCAAAACACTAGCTAAAGCTTTTCTTGTTCTCCTTGGTTCTAACATGCAGTAAGTTCTCTAAATTCCTAATACTTTTCTCCTTTTCCAATAGCCTAGATTTAAAGAAATGATATTTTATAGGAAGAATTAAATACATATCTGGATATCACATCACATTTAAAAAATCAGTATATTCGGAATTTTTAAACAGAATCATATGCTTATTTAGAAATTCAAATACAAAAATATACAAATAAAAATTGAAAATCCCTTCAATCATCATCTGCAATCCATTTCCTCAGAGGAAAACATGTATAATTATAATAAACTTATTATTAAGATAATATAATTAGAATTTATTTTATATCCTTGAAGACTTTTATCTGTACACATACAGATTAATAGCTATAATTTTGCATGTTTTTGGGGGGAAGTGGCTTAGACAAAAATAAGCTCATTTTTACCTACTGTTCTATAATCTATTTTGTTATTCAGCTATGTATTATAGACTTCCACAAGTCTTTTATATAATCATCATTCTTTTAAATGGCTATATAGTATGCCTTAATATGAACATTCTGATTATTCAGTTGTACATCAATATTCTCTTTTGACAAAAACTATGAGGCTCATTCATTCTGACCTTTGCAAACCATGTCCCTCAAACAGGAAAAATACCTAAGTAAGAAAGAAGATGTACACATTTCTTAACAAAAAATTTAAATGTAGTATCAACTCTCTAAATCCTGTAACATGAGACAAGCCACTAAATCCCATGCTAATGAAAGAAAAACAAGGCCCTTGGTCATGAATAATTTATCATACACTTAAGTCTAAGAAAGAAGCAGATTCTCATAGCAAAAGTCAAATAAGACAGTAAAAGAAGAGTCTTGTCAAATTAGTCTTGACAATTAAGCAAGCCTTAATTGTCAAATTAGGCTTTCTTGTCAAATTAGGAAGAAGTGCTAGTGTAATGAGACAAGAATCAGACAGAGAAATCAAAGCCAAAAGAAAAATCTAAGGAAAATGACAAGAGTTCAGAGAAAATATCAGGTTCAAGCCACTGTTTCCCAAACTTGTACACCAGAATCATCTAGAGTTGCTTTTAAAACTGCAAATTCCTGAGCTCTACTCTAGACGAGGTGATTTTGGGTCACTGGAAGCTAGAAGCAAAGTAAAGTTCACCAGCTTAACATCGGCTTCCTGCCCCCATCCCACCACCACATTTCATGTCACCCACTTTTCAACTATTGCCCAACCTTTTGTGTCACCACCTGAAATTGCCACTACTGTGCTGACTGCAGAAAGGTACAGTCGCACCTGTGTTGCTTTTAAGTATCTCCAGACTACATAAATTTTTGCACCATATTTGGTGGCCAAATACACATCAAATTGTGTCTGATGTTTTACGGAAATGAATGGATTTGGATTTATGCTCTCTAAAAAACTAAAACCTACCCAAAGAAATTACCAAAAGGTTTTTTTGTGTGGTTTTTCTTCTGTTTGTTTTTTTGAGACAGAGTCTCACTCTGTTGCCCAGGCAGGAGTGCAGTGGCGCCATCTTGGCTCACTGCAACCTCTGCTTCCTGGGTTCAAGTGATTCTCCCGCCTCAGCCTCCCAAGTAGCTGGGACCATAGGCATGCCACCACACCCAGTCAATTTTTGTGTTTTTAGTAGAGATGTGTTTTTAGTAGAGCCATGTTGGCCAGGCTGGTCTCAGACTTCTGGTATCAAGTGACCCGCCCGCCTCGGCTGCCCAAATTGCTGGGATTACAGGCATGAGTCACCATGCCCGGCCCCAGGGGGTCTTTATAGAAGAGTTTTCTGTCAGACTGGTGGACACACAGAAGGTACTCCATGCAGTCTTGTTTTTCAGGATGCTGTGCATTCTAGGCATTTATTTTTAACCAATCATTTCCAAAATTTCTGAAAACATTAGAAAAGAATGTCTGACACGTACTTTGAAAAATGTACACTTAAACAACAATGCTATTTATTTACAGACTATTACACAGTCTTTAAATATGCCAATGAAATTTTATATATTTCATTAACCCAAATCCAAGTTTTCTCTTGGATAAAACTAAGTACTACAGGAAGGGAGACAATTATGTAAGTTAAAGGGTGTTTTCTGCAGATGGGACTCTAAATAAATATCTGCAACAGAAAAATTACATGGCGTGTATAGGGGACAAGAACAGAATAGTCTAGAGACTGTATTAGGGAGTCATAAGGAATGGCATTGAAAAGGTAAAAGGACATATTACAGAAGGACTTATGAGCAAGGCGCAAAGTCAATTAGTCCAACAGAGAGCCATTTTAAATGCTAAACTCAGCAAGGAGACAATGAAAGCAAGACTGGGAAGTCACTAAGCAGATGAAGTGAGGGGAAGAAAAGAGGAAAAAAAAGGAACTTTCTTGCACAAGTAAGCTAGTGCAGAACTGAGTCAACAGGAATGGAATGAAAGGAAAGGTTATCTCAAAAAGGCATATTTTGGCTTTTGTTTTTCAAAAGCCTACTGGCTGACCCCCTTCCATCATTCTGTTCGGTGTATAGCCTCAGAGGTATTTCAAGATACTTAAAATGCATGTATTTACACTTAGAGAAAATAACACCACAAATTATACATAATGTTCTCTAGTTTTTTTTTGTTTTGTTTTTTTGTTTTTCTGAGATGGAGTCTTGCTCTGTCACCCAGGCTGGAGCGCAGTGGCGTGATCTCGGCTCACTGCAAACTCTGCCTCCTGGGTTCAAGTGATCCTCTCACCTAAGCCTCCAAAGTAGCTGGAGCTACAGGCACTCACCACCACGCCTGGCTAATTTTTGTATTTCTAGTAGCGACGTGGTTTCAACATGTTAGCCAAGCTGTCTCGAATTTCTGACCTCAAGTGATCCACCCACCTCAGCCTCCGAAGTAGCTGGGACCACAGGCACGTACCACCATGCCTGGATAATTTTTTGTATTTTTAGTAGAGACAGGATTTCGCCATGTGGCCCAGGCTGGTCTCAAACTCCTGACCTCAAGTGATCCACCCACCTCAGCCTCCCTAAGTGTTGGGATTATAGCGTGAGCCACCACGCCCGGCCTGAAACCTTTCTTCACTTAAAATATTGTCGCCATCTTTCCATATCAATATATCAGAACCACCTTCCAAAGAACTGGCTCAAACAGAAAAGAAAGCAAAGAGTCAAGAATGATGCCAAACTTTCCTGACTAGATTAGGAGCGTGGAGTGTACTAAGAAAGAAATTGGCAATTTCACAGTGGAGGAAAGAGGATTCCACTTCTGGAACAGATATCAGAACAAGGAATGCACATTTATGATTCATAAGCATGGATCTGAGAAAGAATGATCTAAGTGCAGAAAGAAAAGGGTAACAAATAGTATATACCCAGACTGCAACAGGAGCCAGGAGATACAAAGAAACAAAAGTATGTAACAAAAAAGGCAGAACTAGTTCTAACCAACAAATAGCTAACTGCAAGTGCGAACAGTTCTGCAGAAGATAAAAGGTACTATGAGATAAAAGTAAGGTACTATGAGAGCAAATAATATGAGGGACCAATCCAGTCCTGGTGGTAAGAAGGGTAGAGAACTTCCTTGAGAAGTGATGGATAAGTAAAGACTTTAAGGGTATGTGTAACTACCTTGGTGAAATACAGTAAGCATTCCAAGCATAGGGAATGGATGTATGTGTGTAGGCCAAAGAAGCAGTGTTTCTACAAAACAGAAATTGTGACTAAAGCACAAGAAAAGATGGTGAAGAAGTCATAAGACAAGGCCAGAAAAGAGGGTAGGATTTAAAAAAAAAAAAAAAGATTGCTAATAGTTTTGGAAAGAACAATTCTGGTGTTCTAGTCATTGTGGAAATAGATTTCTGGAAAGGTAGTGATGAAGAGCTTAAGCTAAATGAGGGCAAAAATCTCAGCTGTTACTTACCCACTATATAAACTTGAGCAAATTACTTAACCTTTAAATCTGTGTCATCTGTAAATAGAAAATACAACAGTAGTATTTGCTTCACAGGGCTGCTTGAAGATTAAGAATACATGTAAAGAATTTCACACAAGATCTGACACACAAAATATTAACATCTTAGTGTATGTGCATGTGTTGTGTGTGTGTTTTGTGAGCGCTGTCAAGCATGCACTGGCTGATAGGAGATAAAAAGCAGACAGGAAGTTCAAATAGACTAGAAGCAAACACGTTAACAACTGTAATCTCAAAGTTGTAGAATTATAGGTAATTTTTATGTTTAGTATTTATACTCTTATAGATCTTCCAAGTGTTTACCAATAAGCATAAACTATTTCAACAATTAAGAAAAGGTTAATTTTAAATCATGTCTTTCTACTCTGGTTTCTCTTCAGATCATATAAATCTTTCGAATTTTAAATCATGTTGTTTTTAAAAAAATGAAAAGATTTCTTTTAGATGCAGTATCTACCTATATTTGGCTGAAAATCAGATGGAAAAATCCACAGAGAAAAGGAAGGAAAGGCCAACTGTCCTGTGGAAAGCACAGCTTCAGGGAGAGTAGAAAGTAAAAGGCTCTCCATCGGGGGTGGAGGCGGTCACTTTGGAGTATAGATAAGTCATTCTCAGAGAACGAAGACAATGAAGGAAATTGCAGCCTACTCATGTTCTCCTCTCAGGCTGTACCTCAACAGGATCCAACTAGACTTTGTGATGCCATAACCTGTCAAGGGGCCTGGCATGGAGTAGATAATGTTTTTTTTAATCAAATGACTTTTCAACTTTATCAAATGAATTTTCTTGTAATTTCTAGCACAATTATATTTATAACTTAGGAAGTAATCTGCTCCTTGAACCAAGCACAGGATACCTTCAGCCATCTATCTGTCCCACAAATTACAGTTTCAGCCTATATATAACTTTAATAGCTACCAAATATCAGGACAAAATTATCCTGGTTATACTTGCCACAGAACCCATGAACTTACACTGTAGCTCAACTTCCCTTCCTGTTCCTCAGACTAACTAAATCTACTGAAAAACACACAACCAATCAAAATCATATGCCCTTTTCTCTCCTCTTTCCAGTAAATAGTTGGGGCAAAAACAGTAGGTACAAAAGAAATCGCTTGAAATACAAGAGTCAGAAAATCTGAATTTAAGTTCAGCTAAGTTCAGCTCTGCCCTGATTATGCATTCATGGTCAAGCCAGTCACCCTGTAAGTCTTACTTCTCTGTAAAAAGATGACTAAATATACCCCCCTCCATTTCAGATATGAAAAGTGCTCTGCAAACAGCACAAGGTATAGCCCAAAATATCCTAGTCTCTGATGGTGCTGCTCCACAGGTACAGACAAGTAGTAGAGACAAGATCCTCTCACTACCCAAACTCCTGCCTACTTGTCAACCAGCAGTATATGTGTGCAAGGTGTCTGGATAAAGTTAACCCATAACCCGGGGTTAAAAGAAGGACTTTTCTGCATATAAGTGTCATCAGACTGGATGGGAAGTACCATTCACTCTAGGTCCATCAGTATCACACTCCAAACAGTTGAGTCACTTCCCAAACAAGAAGTTGCTTTATAGTACACTCTGTAGTGGAGTAGGACACAGGGTAAGGCTTTGGGAGTATGAGCTTCCAAGGTGAAGAATAATGACACAGCAAATAATCAGTGGGGCCCCATCTGATCAATGAACTTAAATCATTTTATCAAGACGTCCCTTCCTTTTCCTGCTTCCAGTCAATCTTAAATATTTCTTTAAACGGTTTTGTTTAGGTATAATTCACATGCAATTAAATTCACCTGTTGTAAGTGTATAATTCAATGACTTTTATTCATTCATTTATAGACTTGTGCAAGCATCACCAAAATCTAATTTCGAACCTTTGCATCACTCCCAAAACTCCCTTTGTTCCTGTTTCCACTCCAACTTAGCCCCCAGACAACCACCGATCTGCTTTCTGTCTCTATACATTTGATTTCTCTGGACATTTTGTTTTGGTTTTTGAGACAAGTTTTGCTCTTCTTCCAGTCTTCCCCCAGACTGGAGTGCAGTGGCATGATCTCAGCTCACTGCAACCTCTACCTCTCGGGTTCAAGCGATTCTCATGCCTCAGTCACCTGAGTAGCTTCGATTACAGGCACACACCACCACACCCACCTTCTTTTTTTTTTAGTAGAGATGGGGTTTTGCCATGTTGGCCCGGCTGGTCTCAAACTCCTGGCCTCAAGTAATCTGCCCATCTTGGCCTCCCAAAGTGCTAGGATTACAGGCGTGAGTCACTGTGCCCAGCCTCTGGACATTTCATATAGAAGAAATCATAAAACATGTACTTGCTTAAGTTTGGCTTTTTTTTGAGATGGGGTCTTGCTCTGTCGCCCAGGCTGGAGTGCAGTGGTGCAATCTTGGCTCACTGCAACCTCCACCTCCCAGGTTCAAGCGATTCTCCCACCTCAGCCTCCAGAGTAGCTGGGACTACAGGCACGCACCACCATGCCTGGCTAATTTTTGCTTTTTTTTTTTTTGGAAAGAAGGGGTTTCACCATGTTGGCAAGGCTGG